GATAATATACTAAATATTCACTTAGACTGTATTTAGAGTAGCATTCAAGTTACTTTTTCTACAAAATATCTCGAGTAGAAAACAAATACTCTAAAAATCTACCTGAATTACATTCGACGACACTTAGAAAGTAAGTGCAAGCTGGTAATATAAGAGTAAGATAAGTAAAAAAGATTTTCTCTCTTGTGAAGACTTTGTTGAAAATCACATTCTGCTGTGATTTTATGACTTTCAAGAAGCGACTTAGCTGCTGTAATAGAAGTTGATTTTGAAACAATTCCGGACATGCCCCATAATGGGTACCAAAATATTTTAGAACAAAGGGGACTCACGTATTGTTGGCATGGCAACTGGCATGCTTTAGTTTGGAGGCTGGCTCGGCTCATGACGCATTTCGAAATAAGTTCGCAATATACCTCGACGCAATTTGGCGGACTTGACGCATCGTTCGGCATTGCATATCCCTAAAAACCGAGCTAGAAGTTGATCAGGCAGCCAGACTTGTTGATGAGTTCACGAGTGAAGGACACACGTGCATTCTCCGGAGAAACATCGCTCGAGGACAGACGGCAGCCTCTGTCGCTAATCAACAACCATGAAAGAGTATTTTGTCTTCCCAGCCAAGGTCGAGAAGGACCGCCTGTACTTTCAAACTGTAAAAAAAAAAAAAAAAAAAAAAAAAGTTAGCAATGTTAACAAGGAAACACAGGTAACCAAGGAAAGGGTCGACGAAACCCCTTCCAATCCCATTCCTGCCACCCTTCCGCGTCAGCTCAAACCATTCTTGTCGCATCGAGGCCGAAATTCCAAAATCAGAATCCACCCGTTTAGAAATACCTGGCTCCGACTCGGAGAAAACTCGGTTTGAGGATTCTGAGAATTGGGAATTCGGAAGGAGATGAAAGAAACGCTTTTGACCGAGCTGGGGAGCAAACTTTAGGCCACGACAGACTCACAAACGGCTTTGGAGAAGCCAAATCTAGGTCACTGCGGCTCAATAAACCCAGCAGGATCGAGCTTCCTTGGCTAGAAAGTGTTTGCTCTCGCTTAAAAACGTACTCGAGGCTCATGTCAGAACTCATAGAACCAGTGATTTCCGAGCGTTGGGGTCATAATCTCCCCCCGACGGAACCACTCCAGCTTCAGACAAAAGGTGTAGAATCCGGATGACTTCGCCAACATTTGGCTAGCTCCGAGCGCAACGTGGCATTAAAAAACAACTTGAAAAAAAAATGCAGACAAGAGTACACAAAAAGGCGTGCGTGATTTGTGCTATCCACTTGGGCTGCGTTTTGCTATTGCCTTGTTTCCCGTTTAGTGTTCGGTCACTTGGCCCCAAGTTTGTAATTGGTTCCCCTTAGGCCTGGAGTTTGAAGATCTCCAGTTCCGAAGATTGTTCCGACGATAATTTTTGAGTACAATATAGAGAAAAACGTAACTAGAATAAAGCAAAAAATACTGTAGGCGAAATGTATTTGGAAGGTACCAGAGTACTACACAAAGTATTTTAAATACAGTATCTTGAGTAGAGAATTTAAGAGGCACAAGTTTGTTGTATAGTGAATGGTTCAGCTGCTGGTGCCCAGATTCTCAAATGCATGGCAGCCTGTGATTGACTTGACATATCAGCCGACCCATTGCCATGGAGGACCAAGTCTGCTGGGACTTGTCCTCGTCATTCCTTCATGATTGTCTCCGGAAAAACGACCCCTGCATCAGAGTAACTCTAAACAGTTATCGTTGTCTTGTGTGACTATAACTTCAGAAGCAAAGCTACTTCAACGTCCCAAAAGGCAGTAGCTATGAGTTTGCCGGCTGCGTTTTCTGTCTTAGACATTTGTGGGGTGGGGGATGACTCGTGCTTTCGCTGCATTGACTTCATTTTGGACTGAAGATCACTTTGATATGTCTCATCTCCAGTCGCCGAACAATAAAAAATACTCACTTGGTCTGCACGGATGACCCCTAAGTTTACTTAACAGCACTGGAGCCTCGTGACCTTTTGATAGGGCGTCAACATTCTTGAAACACATGCTGCACTAGCCTATGATAACGTTTTTTGTTTTTTTTTTTCATTTTACAAAGTAGACTTATCGAGATGGCCATTTCTTCAGCGATTCGGGAAACCTCAATTGCAATGTCTTACAAAATTGACTATTTGACTTTCTTGCTAGTGTCTATGGAGGGTGCTTCCACAGGCGTCCAGTGTAAGGGTTATTTTCAGCTGATTCTCTAACCCACTTAAGCTGCTTGCTTAAAAATTATGCTTTGTTGGATGATGAGAAAGACTCACTATAAACAACAATCATGCACTCATAAAACTTTTTTATTTCCCTTTGTAAAAAATAAATTTAACGCCGAACCTGCTCCCAATCCAGCATTTGCTTACCTGACGCGCACTATTTATTTATTTTATTTTATTTTATTTATTTATTTACAATACTGTGAACCTTACGGTCAACACAGGAGAGAAAAATAAGTTGTACAAGCCAAGCAAAATGCATTCACACTCAAGTGAGCACTTATGCACATGCAGTGGTGCGTCACACCCTGCACATCTGAAGATGTATTCCGCACACATACATTATTCAGTTAAAAATTCGCGCAATGATAATTCAAATGACTTGAGATTAGAGCAGCTGACGACTTCGTTTGGCAGAGCGTTCCACTCTACTATTGTCCTACAAAAGAAAGAATACTTAAATACATCATTTTTGTATTGATACGGAGCAATCGCCCTGACGTTGCTAGTCCTTTGGGAACGAGACGTTGAAGGCCGCAAGTAAAGCTGCGGATCTAGCTTTGTCATTCCAGTCGTTATGGAAAAGAGTTCTTTTAACCTTGATATTTTCCGTCGCTTTGCCAGCGAGTCAAGCTGCGCCTCTTGTCTCATTGAAGAAACAGATTCTGTACGTTTATATCTGGAGAAGATAAATCGAAGAGCCAGATTTTGTATTCTTTCAATTTGTGATTCGTGGCATTTTCTATACGGGTCCCATACAGTGCATGCATATTCTAACAATGGGCGAACATAACACATGTACGCAAGTTGTCGAACATCACTATTGGCATGCCTAAGTTGTCTTCTGAGGAATAATAACTTTTTGTAGGCCTTTGAACAAACGTAATCTACATGACTGTTCCATCGCATGGTAGAACTAAAAATAACACCTAAATATTTAAATTCGTCCACCTTTCGCAGTTGCACGCCACCTATGTTATAGGCATATTCTAAAATGTTTCGTTTGTTTGTAATGCTGCAGAATACTGTTTTATCAAAGTTAATTACCATACCCCACCTTTCACACCACAAGTAAAGTTTTTCTAGAGAGGCATTAAGCAAGTCTTGGTCTTCGACTGTACGCACTTTTGAAAACAACATGCAGTCATCCGCAAATAGCTTTACCTGGACAGCTGGCGGCATATCATCTGCAATATCATTTATATACAGTAAAAACAAAAGTGGACCTAATACCGACCCTTGTGGCACACCTGAAAACACTGCAAGGCGGGTAGAGCATGCATCATTGCAGTAGACATACTGTGTTCTGTTAGTTAGGTAAGACCGGACCCACGACACTATATTGCTGTTTAGACCCACAAGGTGAAGCTTTTCAATTAATTTGTTATGAGGCACGCGGTCGAACGCTTTTGAAAAATCCATGAACACGACGTCAACCTGACCCCGCTCATTTACAACAGATGAGAACTCATGCGCACACTCAATTAATTGTGTGACCGTCGATAGACCCCGTCTAAAACCGTGCTGATGTTTGTATATTAAGTTGTTTTCTTCTAAGTACTGAGTGACATGATTTGAAATAATGTGTTCCAGCAGTTTGCAGCAAGTCGACGTTAATGATATAGGACGGTAATTTTGGACTGTCATTTTGTTTCCAGATTTGTGAATGGGTATAATTTTACCACACAACCAGTCTGCTGGCAATTTGGATTGTTGGAGAGAGGCTTGAAATATTATGAAAAGATATCGGGACACCCACTCAGCATATCTTTTCAGAAATGCATTTGAAATGTCGTCTGGCCCCGACGCCTTTTTTACATCAATATTCAAAAGCAAATTAAGTATACCACTTTCCGAGACAACCAAATCTGACATACAAGGTTCATCAGAGCTGCTGACGTGGTCTACCGGCGGGTCACTCGAGACTGTAAAGACTGACTGAAAATACGTGTTAAATTCCTCTGCCACTTTAATGGGACATGATACAACCTCATCGCTTACCATCACTTCTGTTATTACTTCTTTTTTCGACGAGAAAAACCGCCAGAATTTTTGCGGAGATTCCAGCAAGAAACGAGAGAGCACATTGCCACAGTAATTTTCCCTAGCTTGGGAAATAAGATTCTTCAATTGTCGCCCCAAATTTGCAATGTCTGAGGAATTTTGTTTTGCTTTCCTTTTGCGCTTGATCTTTCGCTTTATTTGCAAAATTTCTCTTGTTACCCATGGGTGATGTCGTTGTGCTCTCACGCCCCTTGTCGGAACAAAGTGATATGTACAGTAGGAAACAATACTCTTAAATGTTTTCCATAATTCGGTAACATCACTTAACTGACTAAAATGGTCAAAATGTTCATCTAAATAATCGAGGATGGACACATCATCAGCATTTTGAAAATCTCTGACAGTACGTTCGTGACGAGACTTTCCTGATATATCCTCTCTCTTAGAATGCTAGACTCGCACTGGGCCTCAGCTGTACATGAGGAACCTCGAGCCACGTCTCAACACGCCCAGACTTTTTTAACACATTTGCTGTTTAACTTTCATGCCCAGGCAGATAAATCATCGAACTCCCCTCATAAGTTGCTACATAATGAAAATCTTCAAGGCGTTTTGAATAGTTAAGTATTTGTTCTAAAATTAGCGTTTTACATGAGATGCGGAAAGCCTAAGTACACGTGAGACCAGTGAATGCTTTCTAAATAAAAAGAAAAAAACGTGCGCTGTAATAGTCACTCTATCTTTTTGTTTTCAGTTCCCGACGCAAGACATTCTCGTACTTCAAGGAAATCGGTGTGGATGGCCCACCACCAAACCTCATTTGGGGAAACCTTTGGGAATACCACAGAAAGGTGAGCGACCGACCACGTGAGACATTTTATATAGCCAGGCACAATCTTTACAAGCACGCCTCAGCGTTTGTCCACACAATGCGTGGGCGCTGCGCGCGCGCAGAAATCAGATTCTTGCGAATTGAAGCGTCTCTACGTGCGCAGGGCCGACAGCAGCGCCAGCGCAGTGGCGTGACGTCAGATGGATAGATGGATGCTAACGGCTGTACCTATTAGAACGGGCAGTAGCTTGCGCCACCTAGCCTCGAAATCAAATAAAACAACACAGTTATGATTTTTCCTTTCTGAGTCAATTTGCTTCCTCTCTGAACTTTTATAACTGTCACCAGGGGGTATGGGATGTCACCAGGATGACCTCTGGGTCATTTTGGTGTCGAATACCTGTCGAATACCTTAAAAGTTTGCTCGAGGTTTCAGTCTTATGGAAGTTAGAAAGGCTGAAATGAAACCCCAGTATTTTTTGTTATCTGCAATCTTTTCATAATTTTAGTGTACACTTCTCACGTCCTTTCTCACCACTTTTGGTCTGCTTTGAGACATACACGAAAGAAGAACTTTATTACCTCTTTATTTTTAAAGGATGTTGTTTAAGGGGGCACACCCCCTAGGAGGGTCCACTTTTGAACCCTTGGCTTAACATTAACGAAATTTACAAGGTAGGCTGGTGGTCATGCTACAGGGTGCATAACAAAATTGCATGTCTGTCGGTTGAGTGGGAAGGAAATTAGGGCAGCTTTTATCAGGAACACGCCTAAATTGTTTAGTTAATCTATCGTCGGAAAACTATCACGATATTCAAATTTTTATTTGCTAGATATGTAGCAGAACGCCTAGGAGGTGCGGCTCTGGAAAGGTTTTTGTAAAAAGTCATTTATTTCTAACAATTTTATCTTCTGCAAAATTGGTCAACTTTTTGGTCTTCTTTGTTTTTGACAAAATGTCAACATTTTTTATAAAAGACATCTGTAAAGTGACAAAAACATTCCATAGCCGCATTCCTTATTAAATTTCAGTCAGGAAAAGTGAAGAATGAGCCTTCCCTGTATTGCCATTATCAAACGATAGGTTGACTAAAATGTAATTTATACCTAAAAGAGGAACGGAGAAACATGTGTTCAAAGTGCTCCAAACCCTACCTTCTCTTTAGCTTCGGTGGACAGACAATAATTTATAAAAAATTAACTATGCAGTGTAAACTAGTGAAAATATCTGGGAATACTCTCTAGATGTTGATGGATGTAAATATGTGATTTTTCAAAATCGACGTTTTTTGCTGAATTTTTACGCCTTTTAAGAATGCCGTTATTGCTTGCTATTTCGATGTTTCTTTTTTTTTTTTTTTTGTTTGTCGGATTAGCACATTTTGTTTGTTGTACTTTTAAATTTTGGGCATAAATACTCAGACCTACGATGCCTTCCCACGGAATGTGGTATATAGTTCGTGTAAGTAAATACATTTTTGGAGTTAGTTTTCGTTTCAGTCTAAAATATGAAAAATCCTAGTTATCGAATGGAAGTATACCTTCATCCAACTTATGATCGGTCATTTTTTGTTTCTCTTTTGTTTTGCTTTTTGAGAGAACCCTGAATTTTGTCTTATGAATAATTTTGTGACATTATGTCTGACTGCTAACGTGGTGACCTTAACCTGGTTTTCTCCACCAGGATGACATATGAAGATGATATGTTCTTGATTCTTTGGGATAACAATGTCCTGTATAAGGAATTAAGAATATGTCGTGGTACCCTTTAAAGCCTGAAATCATGTTATTTCCCCTAAGTTGTTGAAATACCTTCAATACATTCTATAGTACTTACGGTGATATGCGCAGTCATGGCCAAAAGGAATACGAACAATAGAATAGCGATTGTACAATACCTGTGGTGACTCATAGCGGCGAATGCGGGCAGTGCTTGAAGCAATTAACCTGTTATTTTCTTATTTATCGAGAAAAATGATATCTTTCTGATTCAACGCCCGCTGCGCCCCCTTTGCTCTGTGGTCTCGAATGACCTGCAGCGGGAATGATGCCGCTTTTTGAGAGGATTTTGCTTCCCCGTGGCGACAAGACATGTAGCCGCAAGAGTTGAACATTCTATTGACAGATTCCGCCTAGTGATTTGATTGAGATAATACCAATTCCTTTAGAAAGGGCGTTGTTTTCTGGCACTGCGGCTTGTGCGCTGTCGACGCGATCATTTTATTGCCATTAAAGACGACTTCCGTTGATTGAAACAGAAAAGACGCGGTGAAATAACCCTGCAATGCGGAGGACAACGCTCCAGTTTGCGTGCTTTCGTTTTTACGCAATCCCTGACAGCCCTTTCTTTATTAGGGGTGGTGAAGAAACGCTCGCCGGAGAAAAGTTCACCGGAGTAAAGCTCACAGGAGAAAAGCTCACCGGAGAAAAGCTCACCGCGAAACCGGCAAATGCGGAGAAAAGCTGACCGCAAAACCGGCAGATGCGGAGAAAAGCTTACCGGCCTTTGAGCGAATGCAAAGAAAAGCTCACCGATTTTTAAATTTTTTTCTTAGCTTAGCGGATTCTGCGTCACACGTGGCAATTTAACACAATTCGGATTCGTCACTTTATTAGAAATATATCATAATTTTTGTAATATTATTGAAGTTCATTGGGCATATTTACTGATCCCTCAAAAATTAGTAATCACCACTTCTGTATATTAATGGAGCCGCAAGTATAAAATCAGAACATCGGACACCGGTAAGAAAGAAAACGATTTATTGACAGCTGACAGTGCGCCGTCGGTAGCTCTGTCAGATAAAGAGATTTTATGCGAGATGATATGAATATCAGTGTGTGAACCGCTTCAGCTACAAAGATTGTGCAGTGCTTGATGGATGAGTACGCGTTTTTTGATGTAATCACTGTCGGCTGCGCTGTTTTCTTTCTGTTCATTTCACTAACAAAACTTTCGTTGCGAGAACAGCTTTGTCCTGTCGTGTTTGTTGTCTTCACTTCGCCGTCGTCGTTTGAGCGGTTTTCATCATGTATAACGTTTACCAACTCGCCCAATTGGCTACCTTACAGAAGACTAGTTCTTATAAAGGTCACGAGTAACAACGGTGACAGTGTGCAGCGCTAAAGGTCATGGGTGGCTCGCCGTAGAAGAACACTATTACGCAAAGGCAACGTGTGGAAACAGCAGCACGAACGGCTAGAAAACGTGCATGTCTGTGGAAAATGAAACCTCAATATCCTACCGACTATTTTATCCTGTTCAAAGGGCAACAAAAGCTTCAAAGAGGATATCAGGCACCGCGTTGTTGCGCATGCACTTTCGGATTTTCGGCATTTACAGTTTTAATTTTTAGGTTATAGGCAGACATTAGTAAGCTTTCGAACTTTTTCCTGTTCTTCAAGTTCATAAAGTTTTCAGTTAGGCTTTCGTTGCATAGAGAGTAAACCACAAAAAACACTCGCCCGCATTTATAAATTTGGGAGCAATATACCCAATAAGCTTAACAAATTATACAAAAAGAACATTTCCTTTTTTACACAAATTTTAATGATAATAAATTGATATATGTTACGCATGATCCAACTGCCTTCAAATAAAAAGAAGAAAAAAAAATCGGTGAGCTTTTCTCCGCATACGCTCAATGGCCGGTGAGCTTTTCTCCGCATCCGCTGGTTTTGCGGTAAGCTTTTCTCCGGTGAACTTATCTCCGGTGATCTTTTCTCCGGTGACTCATTCTCCGGGATTCGTTTATAAGCCGTAGCACAACAAGGGCGCGCCTATCATCAAAACGTCAAGTGCCGCGCCACGTGGAGCCAAGAGTGAAGATAATTACCGGCGAAAAACACCGGGAAGCAGCTTGTTCAAAGATAAGAGAGGGTGGCAAGGTTCAGAGATAAGACAGGAGGAAGATGTCGCGGAGGCCGTCATTGTGTTTCAGCTGTGTTTTCGTTACCTGCATTCATTTTTTTTAGTCATGTTTAATATACACCAGGTTGTTTCACCCTAACATTTATCTGAGAAACACCGATATCAATATCGCCGTAGAAATATCGCAAACTTCCAAGAAAAGATTCCGCCGCTTCAGGACGGCACACGTTCCGCTGTTAGCATTGACGTTCGCAAGTACGGCCTTTGGACGCCGCCATTTTGCTGCTAGTGTGGGTAGATTGCCTGATGGTCAAGCATTGCTGAGGACGTTGGTGCGCCTCAGCAATGCTTCAATATCAGAAGATCTGCCCATACCAGCAGAAAGATGGGGGCACCCTGAGGCCGTACTTGCAAGCACCTATACCACAGGAACTAGATCTGGCATTTGAATATTTTGTATCGCGTGAATGATAACTTGTTTGAACAATGTTCTTGACGGAATGGGAATTTACTTGTACAGCTCAAGAGAACGAGGGTGTGGGTTGCTCTGTTCCAGACTCTAGCACCGCAATTCGTTCTTCGACGGTCTACTCAGCTGATGCCCCAGTCTCAATGTCTGCGAAGGAATAAGATGCTTGAGACAACTCACGACGCCCCGCGTTTCTTATAGACCGACACGCTGTATACAAACAACCCGCATTTGCCCACACTAGCTGTGGGCACTCCGCGTGCGCAGAAATCGCATTCGCATGAATTGAAGCGTCTGCGCATGCGCAGTGCCGTCAACTGCGCCACCGCAGCTGCGTGACGGTGGGGCCGCGTGTTGGTCTATAGACAGACGCGCTGTTTGCAAACAAACCCCAGTTTCCCCTCACAGGTCTGGGCAGTGCGCGGGCGCAGAAACCGAATTTGCGCGAGGGGATGCGTCTGCGCATGCGCAGTACCGACAGCAGCGCCATCGTAGTGGCGTGACGTCAGAGCGTTGAGTTGGCGTTGCCCTAATTGAATCCCGGACAAAAGCTCACCGGGCGAAAGCTCACCGGACAGAAGCTCGCCGGACAAAAGCTCGTCGGACAAAGGCTCACCCATTTTTTCACAGACCCGGACAAAAGCTCGCCAGGCGATAATTCCATGTTGGTCTTAACACG